TGAGTGAAGAAGGTTAAGTGGATATATTTGAGAGCATAAAAGTTATGGATCTCTTAATGTCTAGGGACAGCTTCTGGATTCTAAAATATAACACAGTCTAGCCCTGCCAGTGTGGCCCAGTGGATTGAGCATTGTCCCATGGACTGAGAGGTCCTGGTTCAATTCCTGGTCAGGGCACATACCCAGGTTGTAGGCTCATTCCCCAGTAGGGGGCATGCAGGAGGCATCTAATCAATATATCTCACATTGATGTTTCTTTTTATTTTATTTATTTTTTTATCCTCACCTGAGGACATTTTTCTAATTTTTGTTCAGATAGAGTGGGAGGGAGAGAGAGGCAGAGAGAGAGAGAAACATTAATGTGAAAGGGACACAGAGTGGCTGCCACCTGCACAACCCAACCAGGGCCGGGGACAAACTGCAACCGAGGTACGCGCCCTTAGCGGGAACCGAACCCCGGTCTCTCTGGACCGCAGGCTGCCTCTCTAACTGCTGAGCCAAACTGGCCAGGGCTTTTTTTTTTTTTTTTCTCTTTATTGATTTGAGAGAGAGAGAGAGAGAACATCGATTGGTCGCCTCCTGCATGCCCCCCACTGGGGATTTGGCCCACAACCTGGGCATGTGCCCTGACCAGGAATCGAACAAGTGACCTCTTGGTGCATGGGTCGACACTCAACCACTGAGCCACACCGGCCGAGCTTACATTGATGTTTCTCTCTCTCTCTCTCCCTTCCTCTCTCTAAAAAAATCAATTAAAAATATTTTTAAAAAAATAACACATTCTGGTAAACAATTTATGTGTCTTGGTTTAGGATCATTGAAAGACTGCTTCTCATGGCTCAGACTTTCTGTACACTGATGTTTTTGGTCTTAGACTTGTGCAGATGCTGAGACATTGACTGTTGGGGGCTCACTAGGGCTGAGTGGTGTTCTTTTAGAATGGACAATGCAGTGTAGCCAGAAGCTGTTGGCAGCATCAGAAACCTCCCTTAGGGCCCATTATTTCAGGAATGCTCCTTGCCTCCTGCTTACCAGAACAAATAACTCAGTAGTCTTTATAATGTCAAGTGGATAAAGGAAAATTTCAGCATGAGACCAAACAAACTTGTTCCTTAGTTTTGTTATTGAATGTTCATTGGTCAGACAAGGTAGTGAATTAGAAGAAAAGAGATCAGGCCTGGACATGCCTCCTAATTTTGGGGGGCCCTATCAAGTGGGTTGTTTGGTGATGACCAATGATGATTATGATCATATAAATATGAATTCTGTCTCCCAGGGTTAGGAATCATACATTTAAAAATATATTCTTCTTCGCCCTGGCTGGTTTGGCTCAGCGGTTAGAATGTTGGCCTGCAGTCCAGAGAGACCCGGGTTCGGTTCCTGCTAAGGGTGCGTACCTTGGTTGTAGTTTGTCCCCGGCCCTGGTTGGTCCCTTTCACGTCAATGTTTCTCTCTCTCTCTCTCTTCCTCTCTTTCCCTCCCACTCTATCTGAACAAAAAATGGGTAAAAATGTCCTTGGGTGAGGATAAAAAAAATTAAAAATATATTTTTTATATATCACTCCCTGGCTTATTTAAAAATAGTTATCTATGGATAGCATTGCCACACCGAAAGAAAATTGTCTTCTCCTTGTAACAAAGGTTTGCTTTAGAAATGGAGATGGTGCTGTGCAGGTAGACAGCATATTTGACAGTTTGGGACAGATTCATTTGAAAACCAGCTTTGTGAGCTCTGCATTTCTAGACGTATACTCAGTTTTATCAGATGGCAGTGTGACTGAAAGGCTGTGGTCTGAGTGTGCCTCTTTTACATTAGAGGTGGGCTGGCATCATGTCAAGGCCTTCTAGATTTTAACAATATTAATAAATGCAAGGGATTCAGTTGCTTCCCTTCCTTATGTGGACCCTTCTCTTTCTTTTCTACCCTGCTCTCCGGGGTTGAGGGATAATTTCTTCATATTATTTTTTTAATCCTCATTTGAGGATAGCCATCTATTTATCTTCGGAGGGGGGTGGGGGAGAAATAAAGAACCATCAATGTGAGAGAGACACATCTATTGGTTGCCTCCCATAGGACCCCTACCAGGGTCAGGGGCTGAATCTCAGCTGAGGTACTTGCCCTTGACTGAAGTCAAAACCTGCGACTCTTTGGTCTACAGGCCGACACTCTAACCACTGAGCCAAACCGGCCAGGGCGAGGGATAATTTCTTAAAAGGGTGCTCCAGATTTAGGACCTTGTCTCAGAATAAACACCATTTTTGTTGTTGTTACGGCTTTTACTCTAGAATTTTCTCTTCTTGTTACATAAATAAAAAATAAATAAATAAATAAATAAATAAATAAATAAAAAGATGTCTAAATAGGGTTATTTAGTACCATTGCTGGTTTGTGAAAAAGGACTCCCAGAGAGCAGTGTGGCTCATGTAAGGTGAATTCCTTTTGGCTGGCTGCTTTGTAATGATTTACATTTAGATTGTTGCTTGTTGCTCTTGTAGGGGAGGGGAGGGGGCCTGGTGTGTCTGTAGCTGCCTCAGTCATCACACCGACTGGGTTTGGACAGCTTCTCTCAGCAGAGCTGGGAAATAGGCTGAACTTGCTTTCAATTTTTTTCATCAAAGGCCTCGTTTAGTGGGTTTGTATTTGGGGAAAATGTCATGTAGGATGGGAAGAACTAAATGAGATGAAAAATGAAGTTTACAATTGCTAAGAATAGTGCACGCCTTTCGTAATTCAGTGCACAGTGTCATGGGCTGTGGGGGTCTGTGAGCAAACTGTCACCATGATAACTGTCGGGACCAGTGAGTGCTGCCTGATGGAGTACAGCATCTTCACCCAGAGGGAGGCTAGGGAAAGGGATAAGACAGCCTTCATTGAAAAGCATCTGCTGCCTCTCACTTAGAGCCACTTGAAATAGAAAATCATGACTACCTAGGAGAAGATTCAGTCATTCAAGAAATATGTATTGAGTTGTAGTCATGGAGGGCACATTGGTGAACAAAGCAGGTGAAACTTCCTGCCCTCCAGGAGTTTACACTCTCCTGGGGGATAATGTTAAAAGATAAGTGCTATGGAGGAATAAGAGGCAAGTAAAGGAAGGAAGGAAGGAAGGAAGGAAGGGAAATGCTAGGGAAGGGTGACAAGATTGGGCTAGATAAAGGTGATCAGGGAAGAAGATGTCACTGAAAAAAGGGTGATCACTTTGTAAGTTATATAAATGTCTAATTACTATGTTGTACACCTGAAACTAATATAATATTGCATGTCAATTATAATTTAAAAGTAAATTTAAAAGAGAAAACGTGACTTAAAAAGGTCAGATCCCATATAGATTTGAGTGAAGAGTGTTCCAGACAAAGGGAACAGAATGTGCAAGGCCCTGAGGTAGGAGACAGTGAGGAGGCGAGTGTGGGTGGAGCAAAGGGAGAGAGCAGCAGGAGATGAGGTGAGAGAGATGAGAGGGAGGGCACATCATGCAGGGACTTTTGATGGTCATAATTAAGTATCTGAACTTTTACTCTGAGAAGGGGAGCTATTAGAGGGTTCCAGGCTGGGAAGTTAAGTAATTCTAACTTGATTTTTAACAGGATCACTTGGCTCTTTTTGGAGAATAAACTGTAGGGGCAAGGAGGTGAGCAGGGAGACCAGTTAAGAGGCTGTTGTACTAGGCTGGATGAGATGGTGATGATTTGGACCAGTGTTGGTGGTGGAGGGGTGAGAAGTGGTAGGATCTGGATCTGTTTTGAAGATCATCTAAGAGATTCCCTTCCAGAGGTGGTCTAGCACCAACCATTTTGGAACCCTGGCAAGAGGTGCATCCTCAGTATGCAGTGGCAGCAGTTCCAGGGGCAGAGTCCCCAAGCGCCAACCTATTTTGAAAGGCAAGAGTTATTTACCACCTGCCTATAACATGAACTTGATTGCATTTTAGTTTCTTTTTTAAAGTTATAGGAAACATGTTGTCACACATCACACCTCCCTTCATCTGCCATTTTGGCACTGTCCCTAGGGTTGTACCAAGTGTTGCCTCTGTACCACTCCACAGTGGAGGCCCTGGGACAGCTCACTGATAAACAAGCAGGGATACACTTCGTAACTCTGAATACAGTGGAAATAATTTTCAGTATTAGAAGCAGATTCTTATCTGTTTACGAGTAGAAACATGAATATTTTTGGCAGAAAAGGTTATAGATCACCCATCAGACACTGGCTTTATGTATGGAATTGTGCTAAACATGGCAATATAAAGAAGTACTAGACATAGTGCCTCCTCTAAAGAATTACATTCTACTTGAGGACAAGCAAATATCCAAGAAAAGGTAGATAACCAATACAAGTAGTAAACAGCCAGGGCCCAAAGAAGGGGTTCAGAGACAGGGATCCCATTTTTAGTTTGAATGGTTTCCTTCTAGAGGCAGCTATTTTTATTTTTTCATATTAATTAATTAGTTAATTAATTAATTAATTTTATTCTTACCAGAGGACATTTTTCCACTTTTTGTTCAGATAAGTGGGAGGGGGAAAGAGGAAGAGAGGGAGGGAGGGAGGGAGAGAGAGAGAGAAACATCGTGAAAGGGACACATCGAGTGGCTGCCACCGCACAACCCAACCGGGGCCAGGGACAAACTGCAACCAAGGTACATGCCCTTAGCGGGAACCGAACCCGGGTCTCTCTGTACCACAGGCCAACGCTCTAACTGCTGAGCCAAACCAGCCAGGGCAAGACAGCTATTTTTAAAAACAACATGGATTTTTGTTGAGCCACTCCCACCCTCCTATCCTGGGTCACACCTAGCTTGTTAGAAGTCATCCCTGAAGGTTCATGCTTGTCACACTTTGTGGAGTATAAACTAGGCCAGTCAGAGCTGGCTGTTGCTCACATAGGTCCAATTCCTGGAAAAGGGCAGTAGCCTGGTCAGAAGGATACCTGGCAGTACATTCATCAGCTGTGCTTGGCAGGCCAGGCACTAACCCTGACCCCCAAATGTGTTGTTTTGGTCAGATTCACAGTCTGAGAATGAGGCTTCGCCAGTGAAACGGCCACGACTACTGGAGAACACCGAGCGACCTGAGGAAAGCAGCCGATCTAAACAGAAGAGTCGACGTCGGTGCTTCCAGTGCCAAACCAAACTGGAGCTGGTGCAGCAGGAACTGGGATCGTGCCGCTGTGGTAAGCATCTCTCCCCGTGACACGATGGAGGCTGTGCCCTTGACACCCTGGCATAGCTTTGGAAATTATTCTAACAGGCTGAACTCCTTTGTTCTCCTGGAAACCTCCCTGAAAGCAATAGTTTTAGAGTTTGAGAAATCGGGAGTAGAAGATTTTTACTTCTAAGCACATACAAAGAAACAAAAACACCTGTACTCCTCTGTTGCACATTTCTTTAGAGTTATTGTCACTGCTTACTGCTTTAACGTCTTCCCACTGATTACTCTGGTTCCTTCTCATTGATGACTTATTTAGAAATTAACCAAATCAGCAGAATTCTGGGATATGTACCATAAAATTCAGATATTAAATTAATTTTGAATGAGCCTCTTACTATGTATAATAAACAGATGCTTTCTCCTCCCATATCCTTTTTAAATTAATATTTGATTAGAAAATTTTCTTTGCACCATAATTCATCATCAGTTAACCCCTTGAAAACAGTTTTAAAGTAACCTCTTTTTTATTATCTATCCAATGTAATACCACCTCTTAGAATTGCTACACAGGGATGTATTTTCTAAAACTTGATGCATACACACAGTGGAACAAAACTTAGTCCAATCCCTCAACTCTCTTCAACCACACAGAATTGTATAGCTGCATCATTTAGCAACTTAAGGGTTTTCCTGTCCCTGTTTTTATTTCCTGATTTAAAGCAAAATATTACTAAACTGTTCTGTGGGACAGAGTAGTCACCAGGCAGACTTTGAGGCCTAGGTCTAGCCTCTGAGAATCCTGTGTCCTTTGTCCTTAGGAGGGAACTAAAAAAGCTTCCTTTTGCTCTGGCGGGTTATGTCAGTGGTTAGAGCATCTGCCTGACGACTGAAGGGTTGTGGGTTCAATTCCGGTCAAGGGCACGTACCTGGGTTGCAGATTCAATTCCTGGCCCCAGTTGGGATCATATAGGAGGCAACCAATCAATCTCTCTCACATCAATATTTCTCCCTTTCTTCCTCCCTCCCTTCCATTCTATCTAAAATATCAATGGAAAAATACTCTTGGGTGAGAATTAACAACAACCAAAAAAGGCTTTTGTTCACCCCTGGGATAGCCATAGATATCCTACAAGTACTGATGCTGACAGTGAGGACTAGTTGGTTCTCTCAACAGTTAGGAAGTTACAATTACTTCAATCCTTTATCTTCTGAAGAATAGGTCATTGCTGCTCTTGTCCCTCAGTCATCTGTCCAGTTGGAAATGAGAGAGTACCAGCTTCTCATGGAAACTAAGTTGGAACTCTCTTTTCTATCATGACCAGACATCTATTTGTTGCACACTTTGGTGTGTGGTATGTAATAAGGCCAGAAGAATATATTGAACCGCAGAAATGGGGACACTCATTGACAGCATGGGAAGTCTAGGTGTCTCTGAACAAGTTTTTATTTTTTAGCTTGGCATTTAGTTTCCCCCTAAATGCTTGTGTGCACATATAAAGAAGAGAGAGAGGCCCAGCTGGTGTGGCTCAGTGGTTGAGCACCAACCCATGCACCAAGAGGTTGTTGGTTCAATTTCCGATCAGGGCACATGCCCAGGTTAGGCCTGATCCCCAGTGGGGGCGTGCAGGAGGTGACCAGTCAATGTTCTCTCTCATTGATGTTTCTATCTCTCTCCCTCTCCCTTTCTTTCTCTCTAAAATCAGTAAAGGAAAAACATTTTTAAAGAGAAAATAAAAAAGAAGAGAGATAGTGAAAGAGGTGGGGACAGCGCTGTGAGCAGAGCTTTCACACTCACTTGTGTTCATGCATGTGGCATGGCCCAGGTGAGCCCAGAATCTTATTCATAGGCTGCTCCTGGATCAACCCTGCCAGGTAATTTTAAGTTCTTGGTGGGGTAAGGAGGGAATACTGTGGTTTGCTAAGGAAAACTCTGGGGCCTAAGGACTAATCATCTTTTCCCATATTGCACAGTGTAATCTTTGGTTGTGTGCGTTTTGCTTTGGTCTTTATATGACCTTGTTTCAGCAGTGCAGTCTGTTACCAGTCTTGTGAAACCTACCTGACCATTTTGCCCGATGCTTGCATAACACAGGCCTTTGGTTCCTAAATTAGAATCATGGAATTGTTCTATACCCTATGTTCTTTTTTCCTTCTTGAAAGTAACTGAATCCTGGGTATTATACAGCATTTGTCTTAGTGGATCGAGCAGTTGGTCCATGAGTGTTTTGTCTTGCCTCTGGCTTAATACATCCTCTTCTTGTCAGACAAGCAGCAGGAGTTCCCAGTTTAGCACTGAGAGATCCAAAAGTATTGTAACCAGGTCTCCCAGTTTACCCTTCAGCTTGGATGCAAACTACCTATTTGTCTAAGGTCTTCAGCACAGCTGGAAAAAAATCTAGAATCACATGCTCCTAAGTGGAGCCAACTTGACTGTCTCTGGAAGCGAAGATTACGTACTCTGCTGTGCTCTTCATCTCTTGGGCAGGAGGCTGGATTTCTAAGTGCCCATCGGGTTTGCAATAGCCGTACATTCTTTTTAAATGCTCTAACACATAGTCCCTTGGCTTGTGTCCAACTCTGAGCATCTCCTTATAGAGAGATTTGAGTTTTCTGGTGGAGAAGAAAGTTTTGAGCTTTCTGTAGTTCCTCTGGGTGTAGCCTTCCCAGAGAGAATTGGGAATTCCTTTTGGCCCACTGAGAGCATTATACTTCTGTGCCCAGAAAAATGACCGAGTCAACTGTCACATTTCATAAGATGAAGGACAGCAATGGGAACACAAACCTCTGGGACTGCCTTTGACAAATAGTTCTTGTGTTCCTCCTGCCTGTCTGCTTGGATCTCTCCAGGAAAGGGTGAGTTGTATAGTTATTTCCTTGAGGATGCATGGAGTGTTAGAGAGACATTTAACTGCCCTGAAAGGTTTTAGGGGGCCAGGAGAGGGGGACATTAATTTACTACAGAGAGTGAAGATTCAGGAAGGTAGTTTGAACTCAAACAACACACTTCTCCACTGCAGAAAATATTTTTTTTATATATATTCACAATCTTTTTTTCCATTCCCCTTTCACTCTGTACAGGTTATTAACTGCTGACAAGAAATTCACATCTCATAAATAATGCTTAAGAGCCATTTCTATATAAATTGAATGTGTTATGAATTGTGATGGGCCTTTTTGTAGCATTCGATGCCTAGAGCAGGAAGAACAGAGGATGTCATTTTCATTAATTTGTAATGAGGTGCCAATTAAAGGCAGGGAAGATGCTCCAAAGGGAAGAGTGGCCAAGCTCCCCTGAATCCTCTGCCCTGGGGCTGTCATCCAAATACTGCCAGCAAGCCTTCTCTAAAAATTCCATTAAGTTACAGTCTCATGGCGAGCACACACAGACACAGTCAGCTTCCCTTTGATCTTCAAAAGAGCAATTTGTAAGACAGTTCTGAGCCTTCTCATGAGTGAACAGCTAGAGGTGATAGGAATTGTTAATTGCTGAGACACTCCATGGGCATTCAATAAATAAGGTGAATTTTGAAGATGAATTCTCTGCCTCGCTGTGACTAGATAACCTTTAAATCAACAATACCAAAGTAACACCCTTTTCCTGTGAAGTCTTTCAAGATGCCAATTAGAAAAGGCATTTGGTGAGGTTGGGATGATACCTTCCTCCATCCTAGAGTATCTTCAACAGTTTAACTTCTTAAGATAAAAAACAATTGCATAAAAATGTATTTATTTGTTTCATTTTCTACTCAGTAGGCAAATTGATCCGCTCATTCTCTTTATAGGTGTCTTGTCTCTCCAAATGCCACCTAAAGCAATGGTTCTCAACCTTCCTAATGCTGTGACCCTTTAATACAATTCCTCATGTTGTGGTGACCCCCGAACATAAAATTATTATTGTTGCTACTTCATAACTGTAATTTTGCTACTGTTATGTCTTAGGCGACCCCTGTGAACAGGTTGTTCGACCCCCAAAGGGGTCACGACCCACAGGTCGAGAACCACTGACCTAGAGGATGTTCTTCTGAAATCTGGCCATCCTCATCAAATCTGGGCCACACCACCGCCACATGAATGCTGTGTTTTCTAAGCAGATCTTGCATGATACACACAGCATAGCTTTTTAATTGCTGTGTATTGCTTCCCAGAACCACAGAATTAATCTTTAAATACCAGTCTAATAACTTGCATAAGTTATTGCATATATTCAATGGACAGTGACTTAACAAACTATAAGCTGATATGCTCCCTTTGGGGACAACAGTGCTTTTACTAACCTGAGTAATCTAACTTCCTTTATTGCTTTTAAAATAAATTTTATATTCACTTTAGAAGCTCAGAGTGATGCTTTAGCTGAGACCTTTAGAGTAATCATCTCCGAGTGCCTCAGCACTCATTTCCGCCTTATCATTCACTGCCAAACTAAATCCAGCAATCGCTTATTGAGACATGACGATGCACAAAGCATATTGCTAGGTTTTGTGGAAATACAGGAGCTAGATATAGAGAATGTAGGAACTCATAGTCTAGGTCAGTGGCTTCAAACGTGAGTGGGCATCAGAATCACAGGGAGAGTGTGGTAAAACACAGTCACTGGGCCCCACCCTGAGAGGTTCTGGTTCAGTAGGCTTGTGCATGTTTAACAAGTTCCCAGGTGAGGACCATGCTTTAGGAACAGCTGTTCTAGGCAGTTCTCAATCCTGGGAAGCTTTTAAAAAACAGGATGTGCCCTGGCCGGTTTGGCTCAGCGGTTGGAGCGTCGGCCAGCGGTCCAGAGAGACCCGGGTTCGGTTCCCGCTAAGGGCACGTACCTCGGTTGCAGTTTGTCCCCGGCCCTGGTTGGTCGTGCGGGTGGCAGCCACTCGATGTGTCCCTTCACATCGATGTTTCTCTCCCTCTCTCTTCCTCTCTCTCCCTCCCGCTCTATCTGAACAAAAAATGGAAAAATGTCCTCGGGTGAGGATAAAAAAAATAAAATAAATAAATAAATAAATAAAAGACAGGATGTCTGGGCTATATTCTAAA